GACGCAAAATTCGCCAAGTTGTGGTCTTCGAAAGGCCGAGTTCTTGTGAACTTTTTCTATCACACTGAAATCAATATGTTCACAAATATATAGCGAAACACCTCCAGCTCTTCCTTCTCTGCAGAAATGAACAGCCACAAATCCATCTAGATAAAAAAATTGAACTTCATTGTCAGACAGCCACGTCTCTGTCAATACCAAGATATCACAGCCATTTGTTTTTATAAAAGAATGTAGTTCCTCCAACTTATTACGCAAACTTTGCATATTAGCATAGCAAATGCGAAGTTTATTTGCCAGCCTAAGAACTAGTTATTTAGGTCATGTTCGTCATTAATCAGGTTAACTTTGCTACCTTCATCCTTCTTCAGGAAAATGTTTCCATCCTTGACCCAGATAAACCTGAAATTGTGTTCCTTTCTGAAATTTCTGGCCTTTTTATATAGCTCCTGTTTTCTATTTGTAAGGTCATGGTCAACTTATATAGGTTCAATCAAAGGGTTAACGAAACCGATATCTTTGGTAGTAATTCTCTTTTTTCTGGTAACTTGCCAAAATTTCTCCTTACTTTGTTGATTTTCAAAACAGACCTTTAATGGTGCTGGCTTTAATGGTTCTGATTCCGGAACTCCCTTAATAATAATGTTGTTATTAAGTTCCTTCTGCTCCCTGACATCAATCTCATGGTTTATGTGTTTTTTCAGGTCTCTTATTTCGTTTTGTAGTCCTTTATTGACATCGATTTGTTCTTTGTATTTGGTCATTAAATCAGAGTAGTTTTTATCCATTTCAAATAATTTATTCTTCATTTCATTCACAGCTATCATTATATCGTTGAGGGTACCTTGTTTACCTGAATTTTCATCTAGTTCGTCTTCATTATCCAGTTTTTTTCCTTTCCATCTTTTACCGATTTCGTAATTTTACCAAGTTACGTCACGACATTTCGTAACTTGGTTTGGAATCTCTTAATTTTCATTTCTTGTTAATATTTTTTAATTTTTCAATTTTCAGCTTGTATTAATATTTCAATTTTTTTATTTTCTTGGTTGTTGCTTGTACGTTATTTCTTTGTACTTTCCGTTTTTTGTTTAATAAAATTGTTATTTTTCGGTTAATCTTTTTAATTTTTTACAGATTCTTTCAGGGATTTCAAATCAATTTATATTATACTAGTCAATGGAAGTCCGAACTGATGAAATACATTACGAAACATTGTCAACCACCTTCAAATTAAGCGTTAGTTGCTAAGTGTTGTAAATAAATTAGTTTGTGATTAGTGAAATATTATTGGAAATAAATTTGCCACCGGTAGAACACATTATACATTTTTAGTATTGATATTGTTATACTTAACGGTAGTAATTTAATTACACAAACAACTAAAACATTATATTCAACCCCGTCGAAGATTCATTTCAAGCACAATGAAAAGTGTTGAACCCAGAGACTTGTGATTAGGTCCAGCAATTTCTAAGAAGATGTAATGGGTCATTTTTTTGTATCAGATGGAGTAGTAGAAAGCCAAAAACTTTCTTTCCCAAAAAATTAATCACTCCTAAAAATATAACCCTTTCAAAACAATAAAGATGTTAGTCAAAGAGTTGACATTTAAAATAGTTACACGAAACATTAATTATTATGTAGATTCGATTTTTATATTTTGTGATGATAAAGTATAATCCATTTATCAAATGGAAACTAAGGATTTCAGAGAAATAATAACATTACCTTGACTTGATCTGCAGAGCGCTCAGTTACATTGAGAGAAGAATTGGAACTACTATTACTACTCGTGTTATCCAAATTTTCCAATTGTTCAATTTTTTTACGACACTGATGTAGCTCTTTATTTATTTCCTAAAAAAAGAAAGTATTGAACAATTAATAACTCCACGAATTACTCTTAAAAATTAGTTTAGTTTAAATGAACTCGTAACAAGTAGAAAATACGAGCAGGTAGGCCTAGGTCGGAGAAAACTTATAGTACCAAACGTTTCGTCTGCTACTGTGTAGCAGTAGTCTGTGTAGTCTGAGTCTACCATCTCAGATTTTGTTCTTTTCAATTGCGACTTCTGCCGTGAAAGTAAATGATCTTATATTGAATGAATGGTATTGTGGATTTGAATTCTCAATCGGCTTGGCCACATACATATCTTATCACAAACTAGCAATGATGACCAATAGTCCTCAAATTATGCCTATCACATTATATAACTTTTGATTATCATGAAAAAAAAAAGAACTAACATGAACTTATTTCAGAATAACATGACTATTTGAATCTACTTCCCACATGATCAATGAATTTTTTCAGACCCATTTAGGCAACTGAACATTTCATCTTCATTTTATACTAATTACTTGACATTATGTATTGTAAATTTTATCACTTTTTTATTGTATTCTGTTTCTCTTTACTTACTTATTGTGAGAGTAACTTATTGTAATGTTTTGCTAATTATACTTATTGACAATTTCCATGCTTGAAATGAGTTTCAGGAAATAACGATGATTTATTGATTACTTTCTTCATGGAAATTTATATGACTGGCTCTGTTTCATGACATGGCTGACAGGATTGATAATAGCCATAATGTTTTCTAAGTGGCTCAAAAAGGTCTGCTAAAAATTCACGAAAAGACTGTACCACTGAGATTCATCTTTAATGCGTCAGGAATAGCTGGTCAAACACCTAATTACCATACTGCAGCCACTCACGGGAATAACATAGTCATTCATCAAAGACTAGAGACATTTTATCAAGAAGGTGGAAAAAGATGAGGTTAGGTATAAATAACATTCTAGTAAGCCTCATCGTGGTCTCCTTTTATGCTATGGTTCTGGTCAAAGACAATATGCAGTTAATCAGCGGAGCATTTTCGGCAGACATGAGCGCCTTGTCTTATCTATAAACAAACTGATGGCAACGCAAAGAGCAACCCATTAAGTCCTCCGGTGGTAAACTTTCTCGTGGAAAATTTCGAACAAGGTGCCCCAGAGCGAGCGGAAGTGAAACCATATTGCTGGCTGTAAGATTCATGATACGTGGTATGGCAGCAAGGAGAAGAGCAACCAAAGAATTTCTTTAATTTCTGAACTCCTTCAATCCAAATAACCAATTCACAATGGAACGAAGAACCCAAGGAACTATCGCCTAGAGAACAGACGTGAAGATGGGACAATGGGTAATAAAGAGTATAATTGGTCTCTGCACTTAAATTGATCTCGTTTCATATCATTTGATTCAACCAATATAAACGAATCAACGCTCACTACCAACGAAGATTCAAACCAATTCCGAAGTACCTGCTTTGAAAACAAACATATCATTCCGCCCATTCCCTCATCGCTTTTGTCACAATAATTATTAACGTAACCTATACAAAACACATGAAATCATGTAGTTAAGAATTGAAACTAGTAAAGCTTAAATGTATAATAAAGTCTTACCCTGACCGACATTTCATACTTTCTTTTCATTAATGCGTTTTCACCTTTCAAATCTGTCAGTTGCTGTTTGTAAAGATCACATAATTTTGACACGTTTTCAAAATTTTTCGAGATGTCTTCAATTTCTTCCTTTTGTCTTTGTATTTCTTCTGATAGTTTGTCAGTCTGAATGCTAGATCTTGTTTCTTGTTCTTTAATTTGTCTTCTGAGTAATGTTTCTTGGCAAGTTAGCTGTTGAACCTAAATAAACCAAATAAAAAAAATCAATTAGATTTCGACAAATACAACAAACATTGGGGTGTTTCAAATTCGATCCTCAGATACGAAGATTACGGCACAAGAAATTCAACATTGTTAGAAATACCAAATCATAGACTGGCTAGATCAGAATCAAGTCCAATTTTCATGGGTATCAGGCTATTTAACAAATTGCCGAATCATGTTAGAAAAATGTCACTAAGAAAATTTAAACCATTCCTAAAAAACTTTCTGATTGATAAAGTCTACTACTCCATTGAAGAGTTTATAAATGACATCAATATAACTGAAGAATTGAGATTGTCATCTAGGGATGTTAATATATTATAATTTTACCTAGTTACAAGTTTTAATATATAATTTTACATAACTGTTCATATCCTATATATACATAATTATTTTTTAATAAGTTTATTTATATCAAATTACACTGACTTGTTCTATATCATTTAGTTATGATCCAGAAGAACCAATAAAATATTATTATTATTATTGGGACAAAGTTGCGCATTTATCTGACTAACAATATGCCGTTGAGAAAGTTCTGAAATTCCGAGTATATCGGGAGATATCCGGAAAAAACAGAAAATTCGGAATTTTATTTTTTTCTGGCATTATTTCTCGAAGGATTCGAAAATAAATTGCATTTCCACATTGCCACTTTTTTCCTGCTAGATAATGGTGTTTTCAGATTTGCTATCCGACGTTCCGTCTTCCATCCACCATCATTAACTTTATTTTTTCTTATGGGCGCTACATTGGATTCTTTCTGTTAGAATGGATGGAACCGCGTTCAAAAAATATATTTCGACAAAAACATTTGTTTAAGAAATAAAAGTGATAAGTATATAATTCCAGGGAGTCGTTAATTTTCCATTATAACTTTTTTGAAGTTAAATATACTTGAAAATTAAAAAAAGACATTCCAGTATTCCTGTGAATAGTATAATTACATCTGTGTAAAACCGTGCCCAAAATTTTAAAATCCTATCCCAATAAAAAAAAATCTTTTTAAAATCTGTTTTTCCGTTAACCAGCTATTGCACCCCTACGAACGACAACCCTCAGAAGTCGAAAGTTCGAGCTAAGGATTAACGAGATCTTACCTTTTAACGTGTGATTCCAAACATGTAAAAAAGTAAGAACAAATTTTTCTTTAAATACCTGGCGACATCACAAGCTTCCAAACATTTTCACTACCTGTCATTAGTATCGATAATTAAGTATCATTGTCTTTGTTTTCATTGAATTGTGGGTGTGTACCTATTGATCGTATATCCCGGGATAATAGTGGAGTTAATTTGATTGTCTAGTATTTTATATTGATTTGGGTCTACAGGGATAACTATAAACTATCATTCATTTGAATTTGGTGTTCTGGTTATTCGAGTAGTGACTAATTGGTTATATGAATTTCCCTCAATATTTTTAAAACAAAATATAGTTATGAAATGAAAAGTTACAAAAACTAAAACATTTCATAACTGGTTTTGATGAGTGAGGGGATTTTGATATCCACTACGACTTTTAAAAGTGATACATTATATGTTAAAATTGATAACAAATACATTGTGGTATGAGGAACCAGGAAAATAATTTAAATAAGTGGAAGTACCTTGATATAAATCTCGATGCATTGAAATAAGAACCACTATTTGAAAAAGCCAAGCCAAGAAAGAGGTTTTGTGCTCGGTCAGAATTCGAAGGGATGATTTCTATACATTTCGATGACGGTTTTAGGTACATAGTACCTAATATGAAATGATTATTTTTTTCCTGAACCATTTAAAACCGTAACGAAATACAGGGTGTTCAATTTAAAAACACACAACTTCGATATGTCACACTTTTTTTAGCCACTCTATAGACTCCAAGATAATGTTCTTTTATAGCCTCAATCAATATACATATAATGAAATGGATAAATTCCCGAAAAAAATTAATGGTTCGATTTACAGGGACCGTGTTGTACGAGGTGCCCTACCCCTTACAGCGTTTCTATAAAGTAAGAAAGACATTGAGCGGAGATGTGATTACTGCTTTTTCTTGATTTTGAGAGATAGACTGAGACAGATTTCCGAGAACCAGCAATGTTTTTCCTATTCCAGCTTGACAAACAGAATGACATTATACAGAAGAAATATTGCTAAAGCTCTCTGAAAATATTTTCATTAGATCGGATATAAAACGTTATTCCCACACCTCCCACACCTTGAAATATATACCAATATGATACTAAACTTCAAATTTGAGTCTGCTGTCATTAATTCAATAGGGACACAACTAATTTATATTGCAAAGTTTTTGGCAATGTATTAACAATACTAAGTAGTTGTGGTTATCTATACATTTGAAATTCGAAATTTTTAACGAAATTCTGTAAACAGAAAAACGCATTAACATTATGATTTATCATAGTGAAGAATGAAACTAAAAAGTTTCCAGATATATTCACGTTGTACGCATATTTCCCATTCTATTGAAAATTTGGACAGACTAATCGTTAAGATTACAGCAACAAAATTAACTGGCCCATGTAACATTCTGAAGTAATATGTATCTGTGAGTGTTGATGAACAATAAATGAATAAATAAATGAAGAAATTTACCTTGGTTTCCATAGATGTGAACTCTGATTGGAGTCTTACATTTTTATCAGTCAGTTGTTGTGTAAACAGCAGAAGTTCAGATTCTCGGTTCCTGCAATATTCCATATCAGATTCCAATTCCAAATTTCTCTTTTTCAATAAACTCATTTGTTCATTGGAAGCTAGAAGTTGATCTTGTTCGCTGAAAAGAGAGGCGCCTCAAATGATGAATAAGTTCATAAAATTACCACTGATTAACTTTGCTGGGCAATCAAAACTATTTATATATTATTGGACATTTCGAAAGATATTTTCGATCTGGCAGTAAATTCACTACCATCATAACTTGATAATCAGTTTAAACTTGTAATGATTTATTCGTATAAAAATAATTCCCAAACCTTTGTTACTAATACCCAGGAGCGAGCCTAAGGAGACGAGGATTTTAAACATGAGAGTCCACGCAAGATCTGACTCTAGGTCAATATATCAGCACAAGTCACATATCTAAATTATAACCGAAGTGAATCTTGAATACTTAATTGTTATGGTGAAATCGTTTTTTTTTCATTAGATATATACAATTTTCTAAAAGGCTTCAGTTTTTTGAGACATAATGAGATTAGTTTCATTAGTTTCAATCTGAAAGCCTTTTGAAAAGTTCAATATTTTGTAAAATATTGCAGCAAGACCTTGATTAAGTGGGGTATCCACTGGAGAGGAACGATTTTGGAAGGAAGATATATTTATTATGTACATGAAACATACTTTACTTAATGGTTTAGACTTTCACGGCTGAGGTTTTCAGTGTCATTGCTTCTCGAGTTTGAAAGCCGTGGATTTTTGGAATTTCTTCCTGACGTTTCGCTGGCGCGAGTGGCTAGCTTCTTCAGAGGTTTAACCATCATGGCTTGCTGTCCGATGACTACCTTTTAGGCTTCGTAAAGCGTATTTATGACTTGTCAGGTAATCAGTTGTATTTGTACCTGCACTTGTGTGTGTGGGTTTTTGATACACTTTGTGGGTTAGTCTGGTACCACATCGTTTTACTAGTACATCTAGGAAAGCTATCCGTTGGTCTTGCTCAATCTCCATGGTGAATTCTATGCTCGGGTGTTGGGCGTTCAAGTGGTTTAGGAAACGGTTCAGGGCGTCTCTTCCATGTTTCCAGATGACAAAGGTGTCATCCCCGTAACGTAGCCACAAGGTCGGCTTCAATTCAAAAGTGTCTATCGCCTTCCCTTCAAACCGTAGAAGTTTCCCCCCATTGAAAGTAACTTCCTGTGAGACATACTCTAAAACTCTAAAGAGTTCGACGACGTCATTCGGGAACACGTGGGCTAACCCCCTCAGAGAGTCTTCCAATGGAGAGGGGGAACTTCTATGAGCAACTAAATGGCGTTGCGATGGGGAGTCCACTTAGCCCAGTGATAGCAAATTATTTCATGGAACAGTTTGAGGGGAAGGCGATAGACACTTTTGAATTGAAGCCGACCTTGTGGCTACGTTACGTGGATGACGCCTTGGTCATATGGAAACATGGAAGAGACGCCCTGAACCGTTTCCTAAACCACTTGAACGCCCAACACCCGAGAATATAATTCATCATGGATATTGAGCAAGATCAACGGATAGCTTTCCTAGATGTACTAGTAGAACGATGTGGTACCAGACTAACCCACAAAGTGTATCGAAAACCCACACACACACAAATAGATACTTGCACGCACTATCGAACCACCATCCTAGCCACAAGAGAGGAGTCATCTCAACTCTAACGGAACGGGCTCGGAGAATATGTGAACCAGAACATCTGGAGAGGGAACTGAAATACATTGAAGTGCCTCCGAGACCAGAAAAGCCATGAAACCGAAGGGCACCACGGTTCAGAAAGCGAGAAAGTATCAGATGGTTGCACGCGCATATTTACCGTTTATCCCAAGGGTCACGGACATAATTGGAAACCAATTGGGCAAACACGACATCGAAACACTCTTCAAACCTACGAGGAAGATTCAACAAAGCCTCAGGTCGGCTAAAGACAAAAGAGACCTATTATCAGCATCAGGGGTCTATCGCATACCGTGCACTTGTGGAAAGGTATATATCGGAACCACCAAACGATCCATGGGAATAAGACTAAAAGAGCATAAAAGGAACTGCAGACTAGGCCAAACGGACAAGTCAGCTGTGGCAGAACACGCACTTAGTGAAGGAGACCACATAATTTAGTTTGAAAACAGAGAACGAATTGCCCCCAACCAGGGATACCATAGCCGACTGGTAAGGGAGGCAATAGAGATCCACAAACACACGGAGAATTTCAACAGAAAAGAAGAAGCGGTGAACCTCAGTCGAATATGGAACATCATTTTAAGGAATTCTAGAACAACGAACAGGACAACAAGCAGCAAGATTGTTAATATTCCAGGTTCAAGTGTAGGTACGAGTACAGATGCAAGTGCAGGTACAAGTACAAATACAGGTACAAATACAACTGATTACCTGACAAGGCATAAATACGCTTTATGAAGCCTAAAAGTTATTCATCGGACAGCAAGCCATGATGGTTAAACCTCTGAAGCTAGCCACTCGCGCCAGCGAAACGTCAGGAAGAAATTTCAAAAATCCATGGCTTTCAAACTCGAAAAGCTATGACACTGATACTTTACTTACTTTTACTTCACTTTTAAAGTGCAATTTACAGTGAAATTATATAATTGATTCACAGTATACCCGAACCTAATTTAACCACATTAAATATTCAGTGCTTGAATCATTGGCAGTTACCCTAACGCCTTCATCAAGATTTTTGGAAAAGTTGGCATGTTGAATATCTGCACAATTTACAGCAAAGAGGGAAGTGGGCGTAAAGTATGTAAATTATTAAAATTGATGAACTGGTTCTTATTGAAAATGAAAATTTACCGCTACCAGAGCATGGGTAGGGTTGTCGATTTACAGTGTGGTGAGGATGGAATATGCAGAGTCGTGACTTTACACACTTGTTAAAAGACCTGTAGTTAAGTTATGTCCTTCACCTTTCAATTAATTAAATACTTCATCTAATTTTTTTGGTAAAAACTACCGTATTTGGCAGGCGGAATGTTAGGTTTATTAATTTTTCAGTTTTTTTATTATATTAATCTTCAATTTTTGTCAAACGCCTTTAGAAATGTATCTTGTTTGAAACACAAATCTTGACTATTTAAGCGCAATCCAGCAAAAAAAAAACAAAAATAAGGACAGTTCCAATTCAAAAGCTGTTCGTGCTACCGCTAAATGAATTTCATTAGTTCGGACTTCCATTATCTAATATGATATGAAATAATTTGAAATCCCTGAAAGAATCAATAAAATTAAAATGAATAGCTGAAAATAACAATTATATTTGTGGATAATTATTGACCGATTAGTCTTCTCAGTGTTTATTCAAAAATTTTAGAAAGACTAATGTACAATAGACTTATGAAACTTTTAATAAGTCATAAAATTTTATCTGATTCTCAACATGGATTTTGCAATTTTCTTTGACATGTATTTGACTGTATTGAAGTGTTAATGGATTCCAAACTGAATAATATTGGTATTAGAGGAAATATACTTGACTGGATCATTTCATTCCTGACATATAGACAATTCTTTGTAAAATTAGATGGTGTTGAGTCAGATATATATTCAGTTGATGTTGGAGTAGCGCAAGGTTCAATTCTGGGGCTATTGCTTTTCTTACTATTTCTCAATGATCTCCCGATAAATGTCGATAGGCGCTTTTATCTCATCAATTTTGCTGATGACACATTTGGTATAGCTGAATCATCTATGGAGAATATGATTCTATCGGTTGAACTCGGTATTAGTGAAATGACAAAATATTGTCATTCCAATAAACTGATGCTGAATCCACAGAAAACATAAATTATATATTTTAAAAAGAACAATCTGATCGATAGTGAAGTCCTTTAGACACATACCTCCACTAAGTTTCTGGGTGTAATGATTGATAAATCACTGTAATGGTCGGAGCATATTGAAAGTTCATCAAAAAAACTCTCCAAATCCTACTTCGCAATTGAGGTATGAACTTCATGAGACTATTCTCATCCAACTTTATTATGCATTAGTATATTCTGCATTATTATTTCACATCATGTTATGGGGAAATGCTACTGAAATAAATAGGATATTTGTTACACAAAAACGAATCATTAGATTGATGTTCACCATGAAGCCACGTTATTCTTGTAGGGAAATTTTCAATAGTAAAAAGATTTTGATACGTTGATGCATCTACATATATAAATGTTGCTTGACCATTAAAATACATGAAAATGAGCTGAAGAAAAACAATTACCACCATCAATATTGCACTAGAAACGCTACAAATTTAATAAGAATGACTCACAGAACATCCGCATTTGAAAAATCGCCAACTTATGCTGGGGTGAAAATTTATAATGAACTCTCTAATCTAATGAAGGCCTGTAATACAATCAAATTCACAAAATCACTGAAAGATTTCTAATTGGCTACTTTGGATAATCATTTTATAAGGTATAATTTGACACGTTCTATATGTAAATTCATGGACTTCTAATAAAAACCTAACGTAAGTTTTATCTTATGTGGTGATTTTAATTTTTTCAGATGTAAAAACATCAATGTTGACTCTTCATATTCTCTTTTAAGCTCTTACAATATAAATCTAGTGGTAGGTTGGCTCAGTCGAGTAACTGACACCACTTCCATTATAATTGATCAAATATTCATGAATTCATCTAATTTAGGATCATGTTGTATTTTGTATAATATTCCTGATCATAGAACCATTTTGTTGCAATAATGAGAAAATTTTTCAACAAAATACCTAGGAAAAAAGAAATTTCAGCAAATAGAAACTGAAAACTCTCTATTATTAGATAACTGAGAATATCTATTTGACATGAGACGATTTACTTTTTTCCATAATGCTTTAGCATTTCAATAGGAATTTTCTAAAAAGGACATTTTTTATATAAACAATGAGAGATAAGTAGATGACTCAATCGAGTGTTCAAGTATGAAATTGAAAGATTTTTTCATACTGAAAGATAGTTTTTCCATTCGGAATTGACCTCGATAAAGTGGACACCTGTAGGTACAAGATGGCCAAGAAAAACGCCTCTCACAGATGAAAGAAATAGAGGAAGCCCTCAAAATAAGATAATCGATTCATTCAATAATATTCTTTATCGATAATTGAATTGTATCTCGAGTTCACAAACAGAAATAAAACAAATGAAAATATCAACATAAATAAAATCAATATAATGGGCTCATTCCGTCTAATTTAGATTTTTATTGAAAATTATCTAATACATAAAAATGGATGTTTGTTGGTTGGTTGGTAAGTGATAAACTTCTACATCGCTCAACTGATCGTGATGAAACTTGACATGTATAAGTAATTTTTCATAGAGAAGGTTTCTAGGCTATCAATTTTTCTGTAACTAGCCACTAGATGGCGCTGTAGAACAATTTTTTGAAAGCACTGTTCTATAACGCTGCGCACGCCTAAGTTCGTTGATTCTGATTCTGTCAAAACATTGGAACATCAGCAATACAGCAACATAGTACTAATTAGTATTACAACTACCAAATTCTACGCGGGCGAAGCCGCGGGCAACAACTAGTATATTATAAAAGTAAATCATCTCCCAAGTATCCCACAAAATTTTCCGGTTTTTATGTCAATTAACAACTGAGCGAGAGCAATTGAAAATGTGAGATCGCCGCCATACATTTTGACGTCACACCAGGAAACGAGCTTCGAGATGTGGCAACCGGGCCTGTTATTGGAGATTATGAATCGCTGCCATCGCCGCCAGTACTCCCTTGTTGCCGAGTCGACTGATGTGACGTCAAGCTTGACCACATCCAACTATTAATTTGAGGGGGAAGATAAAGAGTGAAATTTCAGATTTTTGCAGATGTACTATTTGAAACATAAACTTTCAAATAATGAAATAAAAAAAAATGTTGAATGAGCCCATTTCCATTTGCCCTAGTAAAACAATTAGCTTCGAATGAAAAATGATTCAAAATATGATACTCTGTTTTTGAATCAATTTTGAGGATTAGAATTATAAGCTTTATCAATTGACAATTACAAAAATAAAAAGTCTTTATATTGAAAACAATATGTCATTTTCTGCAGGTGTTTTCCACACCTTCTTAAAACTGGGAAAGTCATTTCTGTTTTCAAAAAACGAGATATGATTTCAATGTAGAATTATCATTCCATAATAGTATCATGCGGGCTTTCAAAATTGTTTGAATATGTGTTTTTAGATAAACTTCAATCATTTTTGAAACAACATTCTATTATAACTTTAAGGTGGCACACAAAGTTTGTTCGAAAAAATCTACAAAAACCGCAATAATAATAAACTAAGTAATCAAAAACATTGCAAATGTCCGGCTATGTGATTTGAGCCATGCAATTGATTTTATTAGTTGCCAAAAACTGATTTTTCAAAACTGGAATATCATGAAATGAGAGATGTTTTTCTTATGCAGATAACTTAATTACTACAATCTATTGGTTGAATCAAATGATATGATACGAGATCAAGTGAGTGGGGGTAGCAAATTTTTTTGAACTTTAATTTCCTGTTCTTTATGATTTAAATCATTTCTGTGCTTATGATTTTTATCGCCTCCTTATGTAGTCTTGGATGTAACTCTGAGTTCTATTGAGCACTTGGGTCTCGTCAATCGCGATAACGTGGGCACCTTCTCTAAGTGCATGTTCCGCTACTGCTGATTTATCAGAGAGGAAATATCGATTTCATGTTGTGTTTTTCTAGAACTCTCCCGATACTGTTGGTGACATATATCAGGAAAACTTTTCCGAAGTTCTCGACAGAACTATTCAAGATTAAATAGAGAGACTATTGAAACTCAGAAATAATTTCAACCGAAAGAAGGAATCAACATTGATAAAATATTGCTGCCTGCACTGAATTGCTCTAGTTTCATGTCATTTAAACAACGACAATCACCAATGGAATACATTCGGACAACCAAACCAATTCGGAAGTATCTGCTAGGCGGATAATCAAAACACTTCGTTCGTTGCCTCATCGTCTTTGATAATGTCTACCACGGTCACAGACGAAACGTCAGGCATGAAAACCTGCAGAACATAACCAAAAAATTCGAAAAATAGCTTTGACACAGTTACAACCGACCGTGAAAGTTTACACTCTTTGATTATTTGCAATTTCCCAAATTTTTAAACATCATTCAAAAAAACTTCAAACAAACAAGGACAACTTTTTCCTAATTTAACTGAACGATTTTTCTATACTGGCCCTTCAAATTTTGAACAGAATGTATATGCATGATGATCTGAAGTCCGTGTCGAACCGCGTCTGGTGTTTTCAGTTGTTTGTTGTTTCAGCTTCGACTTTGAAGCCATTTCCAAGAATGTACAACACTGAGATCTCAATCTGCCTACTCCTCTGGTAATGACACGCTTCAAGGGTTTTGTGACTTGATGTTGGGGTCTCAATCTGCCTTCTCCCAAGCATTGAAACATCGATGTCGAAACGTCGGACCTCTTTGGTACATTTCGTCGATTTCCTCACAATATGACTCTGTTGTGACAGTTTGGCCCAGTAGCAGAAAGTTATAGTGAATCACACCATGGTTACATTATCTTTTTTTGGTGGGTTTTCGCCTTTGGGAAGTGCTTGGGTGGCTCGTCGGTGTCCAACCACTGTCTCGAACCTCTCCTGTTGTCGTAGAGTAAAGGATCCACTTTTCATCACACGTGACGATCCAATTAAAAAAAAATCGTTTCAGTTGCGCAAAAGTAAAGAAATACTGACTTCGAAACGTGACAATTTCTGCCGATCGTTCAAATCGTAGGGCACCCACTTTTTGAGATTTTTGACCTTTCCAATAAGTTTTGAAACATTAAGAACCGCATAAGAGCTGACGCACAGTTTTTCTGCTATCCCATGCACAATTGTGATGGGTCCGGAACGAAATTTTGCAAAGCAACGTCGAACAATGTGTTTATTAACACTGTCATTGCCAAATGCCTGATTAATTTTTCAGTCTGTTTCGGTAGTGCTTTGGTTCCATTTGAATTCGTAGAGAAAAACTGTCCAAAAATCTCTAAACGACATCATATAGTAAGTATTGAGCTGACAAGAGGCAAAAAATTTAAACTTGGAATCGATCAGTATACACCACGACACAGAAGAATAAATATTTTTTGAGTATGGAGCTACAAAAACACATGTCACTGAAACGGACAAAACTTTTGAAACAACCTAGATGAGTACTATTCTGATCATTTACAATATGTCGTCAATCGAGGACCGCCTGCCTGGTACTGATGATTACCAACAGGCTGAAACACATGTCTACTGGTGGCTCTTAAATTGAAATCAAATTATGAATGGTCGGGATATACTCATTTATTTATTTTATACCGGGTGATGAAAATTCAATTGCATGCTATTGCTATCTATTGGTAACGATAGAAGACACTATGTTGGTTAAATTAAACAAAGATTGTTGTTTTCAGAATGCTATGGAATTATGTTGAGAAACCTAGACGAGAAGTGAAAAACCGAACTTGAAGCCAGTAATTAAACAACATGTTATGATTATGTAAATTAAGTTATCAACGCCTTTCATTTTTATTCAATCCATCGTACCCGAAATGTTGGAAATCAATATTCAATTCATAATATGGTAATATTATTTTTCTGAATGAAGAATCACAACACGAAAAAATAATTTATAGTTTCATTCCAGTTGAAAGAGATACAGAGTAATTTGTTATACAATGATGAATGCAGGATTGAAAGAATCATCAGAAGTTGCTATGAAAAATATAGGTCCGTATTTAAAAAAATGAAGGTGGCCTCAAGTAACCGAAACGTCGCATGAAAAATTAAATTAGTGCATATTTTAGCCTTTATCAAAATCATTCAAAAACATTTATACATTATTTCATATTTTGTATATAACTAAGATACCACTGCAGAAAATCAAAATCAATGATAGTTTGGATTTCACAACACAATTCTATTACAATCTTGAAAGTAAATTTTATTGTCAAATTCAACCATCATTGTATCTTCTACCTTTATCGAGATAGCAATAGTGTGTAATTAAATGTTTGCCACCCGGTACATAATTCGGAAACTATGTATGAAAGAAGACATTTATTAACACAATGAAACTCACTGTTTCAGTTGTAGTTTCAGTTGCTCCAATTGCACAGTCTTCGTTTGCAAATCTGCAAAATTTTGCCTTTGTTGATCGGCACATCCTCTTAGTTCACTCAATTTCTGTTCAGTTTCCGACCTTTCCCTCTCCAACTGTTGAACCTTCAAAGATAAATCATTGTTCTCTTGTAACATATCTTTTTGTTTTGATTGCAACCTCTGAAGTTCATTTCGTAGTATTTTAATTTGTTCTTCTTTATCTTTTTTTTCGTGCCTAAATAAAATCATTGCGGCTTGCTGCTCCTGTATTTGTTGGTCTGAAGAAAAGTAATTTATTAGTATCATATATGCACATCAACCCCCACCATTATACCTTACTGAAGGCATTCCTTATAATTGAAAAAATGTAGAATATCCTTGATTTCAATAATTGACAATAAAAACAATAGTATCAAATTATTAAAAAAATGTTTACAGAATAATCCTGATTACAGTTAGTTTGTATAATATGAAAAGTTTCTTTGCTAGTAAACCTAATTTAGGGCAAGATGCATTTTTGATTGAGCCAAGGAAATATTTGTAAGACCTCGTTAATCCTTAGCTCGCACAAGTTTCGACTTCTGAGGGTTGTCGTTCGTAGGAGTGCGACAGCTGAATAACGGAAAAACAGATTTTTAACAGATTTTAAACAGATTCAGACATAACTTTGGAATAAATCTTTTTATCCGAAGCGATCTCTCCTGTCAACGAGAACCCCATAACTTTGTTGTTACATGGTTTAAAATGATATCACAGAAGATCACTAAATTCATTGCTGCCGAAAATCGAACTAGGTTTGTTAATGATCGCAACAGCTGCAAACTTAAAATAAATGAAAGCAAAGAACATCACAATCAGAGACTTAGGGATAAACTGCTTGCCAATCCTAATGAGTCTAGATCCTTCTAGTCGGTAGCTAAAGCTGTTAATCAAAACTTTACAAAATTCACAATTCCACCACTAACACAAGCAGATAGTTCAATTGAAACAACAGCTATAGAAAAAGCAAATCTACTAGCTGAACAATTTGCGTCCCACTTCACAGTCGATTTTATGGGAAATGCACCACCCACTATTCTTACACTAGAATCCACAATGCCGGAAATTACTTGTCAACAACGTCTAGTCAGGCGAATTTTGAAACAGCTCAATATCAACAAGACATCTGGTCCTGATGAAGTACCCGTTATCATACTTAAAACGTTTGCCTATGGGAAATCATAGGGAAATCTGTAAACCACCATATCCTTAAATATTTGGAAGGCTTTAACATCTTGAGCGATCATCAATATGGCTTTCGGAAACAAAGATCAACAGTCGACCTTCCATCGTATGTCACCCATATTTGGGATAATGCAATCGAAAAACATGGAGAGTTAAGAGCTGTCATGCTCGATTTTTCTAATGCCTTTGACCGTGTGTGGCATGAGGGTTTGCTGTCAAACTTCGATGCTATGGCTTGTCGGATCATTATTGTGTATGGCTCTCCAGCTTCCTGAAAGAACGTTCCCTGCAAGTGGCTGTCGATGGATATCTCTCGCTGGTGTTCCCCAGGGATCTATATTGATTCCAACCCTCTTTTTATTGTATATCAACGACTTATTGGAAAAAACCCACAATTCATTATATTGCCTTGCTGACGACAGCTCACTTGTCTCGTCCTTCCATTTGGATTCCAGGACATCAGCTGCGGATGCACACAGGAGGTTGCATATCTTAATGAGGATCTAGAAGTGATTTAGAATTGGGGTGGAAGTAAGCAGGTTCAATTCAATGCCACAAAAACCCAGGCATAGATTTTCTCCAAAAAGATAAATATCTCCGAACTGGATTCTGCTTCGATTAGTTTGTTGGGGGTTAAAATAGACACCAATACGATATGGCACAATCATGTCGCTGGAATTGCAAATACTGCTTCTCAAAAGCTTGGAACACTATTCTGAATCAGAAAACTCTACACACCTCAGCAACTGTTGATGCTTTATAAAGCTCAAATCAGATATTCTTTGGAGTATTGTTCTCATGTATGGAGCTCCGCCCCTAAGCATACCCTGAAGCTGCTGGATTTCATTCAGAAAAAGCCATCCGCTTGATTGGAGACACAAACATCGCTTGCAACCCTGATAGAATAAAATAGAATAGAATTTATTCATCATTAAAAATTTTATAATTGTATTGCATTACATGACACTTTTTTTTAAACATGTTAAACCTGAGCATTAGGCTATATATAAAATATAAATAGATACATACATGCACATTAAAAGCATATTATTAACTTACATTAGGAGTTTGAAAATTCTTGCACAGAATAAAATGTATTCTTTACTAAGTGACTGTATAGTCTTAATTTAAATGTTTGCAGACTGGTTATAGTAAACGATGCCTTGATAACTCGCAGAGTCCTGTCCCACCGCCAAACGTGAGTAAGGTAGCGTTACCTTTTCGTGTGTTGTAGTCATGGCAGATATTATTTTTTGTGTAGCGAACTTCATTTTTATTATATTTATGGCTACTGCATATATGTACAGACAGGGAAGAGTAAGTATGGACAGCTGAATGAATGTGTTCTTACATGATTTTTTATAATAAGGTCCAGCTAGGCATCTTATCATTTTTTTTTTACTTAAATGCTTTCATGGCATGAGCTGAGTTTCCACAGAAGGACAATACGTAAGATAAAATAGACTGCACAGGTCCACAGTATATTATTTTTAGCACTTCTAGTGAGACAGTTCCGCATAACTGTTTTATTACAAAACATATGCTGCTTGGTTTTGTTACTATATTTTCTATGTGTACTTTCCAAGTTAGTTTTTGATCGATGGTCAGACCTAAATATTTGAAGTGACTTACATGCTCAATAGATCTGCTATCCATTTTTATAAAAGAACAAAAATTATAGGAAATATTTTTTTGCTGGAAAATCATAAATACCGTTTTGGTGACATTGACTGTTACCCATTCTTTTTACACCACTCGGAGAATTCATGTGATACCGCATCTGCTGCTTCTACGAAAATAGATAACTCATTTCGTGCCACCATTTGAGTTGTGCTATCTGCATAGATTATTGTTATTTGTTGTGACATATTTGAATTTTCTATATAACGCATTAATAGTATAGTAAGAATTGGAGCCAGGGTTAAACCCTGCGAAACTCCCATTGAAACAGAAGCAGGATGTGAATTCATCGAATCAGTCATTACCACTTGTGACATATTTTTTATATGAGGCAACCCACTCATTGGCAATTCTCCTGATTCCAATTCTAAGCAGTTTTTCCAGGAGTAAGCTATGGTTCACTGTATCGAATGCTCTAGTTGAATAAAAAAATAAGCCAACTGGAATTTGCTTGTTATTGAGACTTGTATATATGCTACTGCAAAGTTCATTTATTGCTGTTGAAGTTGATCTTTGCTGCCTAAAGCCATGTTGACAATTAGGAATAAGTTTGTGGTACTCAATGAAATTCACCAATCTCAGATAATAACTATTCAAAAATGCTGGTCTCGGGATTCACAAAAATTCAACATGACAAGTGAAACACAAAAACTAGTAAAACACTAGAAAGCTCGTAGTAGTAACGTATCAGACATGTGCCTCAAGACAATTGGATATCTGATAATGCATTCAAAAAAGCAAACCATACATATGCATTTTAGGCTAGTTGGCTCTCATCTGTATGCATTAGTAAAGTGAGAGGAAGGGTAACAATCAGTTGCAGAAAACACATATTCAGAATTAGCCCATGTGTGAGATCCAAGTCCAAGCTTAAATATGAAAAACGTGTGTGTACTTGGTTATAGCATTCTTATAAGAGCCAACTATGTCGAAATACGTTTCTGTTTTTCTATTTCAGTACCTTTCAAAATAATTTTATCTTTTGATATTTATCATGATACTCAAGATATTACTTTATTTCTTTATGTATTACAATCATTATCATCGAACCTAAAAACAACATTCCAGCAATAAGATTTTTCATTTCTTTCATATAATTTTCACTCTTATAGGCGGTCTTCCAAAACCCTGTCTCAAATTATGTATTTGCTATTATTTACCTAAGAAAGGTAAAAAATAATTTCCCTTAATAATTCACAAATAAGTTTTGAATCTATTCGACAGCTGAAGAAGCCAGCACAACATTCGGAGATAGTAAGAAATTTTACCTACCCAAAACAAATGCTCTATTTTCTTCTGAACGATGAAATGTCTTAACAGATTCTTCGGCATCCAGTTTGGATTGTTCAACTGCACTTGTCATTTCTTGAAGTTTAGCGTTTAAACTTAACAACTTATTTTCAGCGTCCTAAAATAAACATTTTTTTTATTAACAAAAACATCTGCACATTTTATAATGAACAGTTGCAATACATTTCATATTTTTTGCTTCAAAACACAACTAATGAAATAATTTGCAATTGATTGACTGATTTATTGTTGTACGGACGCTATCTTCTGGGTTTTCTGGCCTTGGTCTGCAGGTTTTTAATGCATAACGTTTCGTCTACTGCTGCGGCAGGCGTAAAAACCTGCAGACCACGGCCAGACAACCCGGAAAATAGCGTCCATATAGTTATCTCCGGCCGTGAAAGTTTACATTATTTGATTTATTGTTGTTTGGAGTTATTCAGGAAATATATTATAGTTTAGAGCAGAATCAGTGCTTGTCAATTCCGACAATCAAAAGAGAAATTTAGGAAAGAAAAACCCATACCAAGAGTCATATGCATATTCAACTAAAAAATCAGTTATAATTTGGGAAAAACAAGAACATGAATCTTTGGGTCGTCAAAAGCATCAAAAATGTATATTACTGGAGTTTTTTCCCAACACCAAACCGTTATTTTAACACCTCGACACGTGTTTCAATCACCAAGTGATCATCTTCAAGAGGAAGATTAAACAAGTCATACACAAAGTTATCCTTATTTATACCATCGATACCTCTTCTAGGTACCTCCGTCTTGTGTCTTGAATTAATTTCACAATATTGCCTTATCTACTAGTCTTAAGTTAATTTTACAATGTGTC